CTGTTTAAAAGAGATATATAACTAGGTATTTCTGTCATCACAGGAGTCTAGAGCGAGGGCTACATGGTGGAGGGGACCTGGGGGAGGGTTTGTAAAACAATGAAAGAATCTTTTCTTTTACTTTTCCATAATTTCTGGACTCATGTACTTATAACTTGTTAGTCAAATTTGTGCCTTCTAGGTTGCAACACCCCCATGATACATCTTCAAGGATATGAACATGTACGGCCAAGCACAATCAATAAGAGTGCATCTAAATCCCAAAATCAATCTCCATAATAGTCTATGTGTTTCCTACTGCCAAAGGGGCCCTTTAGAGTAGTGAGAGAAGATCTTCACCCTGAAACCCACAGCGTCCCTTTTCAGCAGGAAGTAGCTAAGAGAATACGCCATCCCCTTTTCCTTATGACTCAGGGTGAAGTCTCTCTCAGGGAGGAGTGATAGGGAATGGCAAAGGACACACTGACAAAGAAGATTAATCAGAACTGGCTTTGACAAGCACTGTGGCATTTGGACAAGAACAAACTGGGTGGAGGGTAGAGAGAATAGTGCAACAAGGAATGAATGGAAACCCAAAATCTCTGTAAATGTTTATGAAAATTAATAAAATATAGGGAAAAAAAATACACACATTTTAAATATGTAACTTATAGTCAACGCATTTATTGCATCTTATTAGTATGCTAATTATATATTGAAACTCTTTCAAAGTTGTTGTTGTTGTTGTTGTTGTTGTTGTTGTTGTTGTTGTTGTTAAAAGCCATCGAGTCGTAGACGACTCATAGCGACTCTATGAACGAAAGATCAGAACACTTGCATAACTTTCTTCATTTCTCCAAGTTCATAGGGTTTCCAGAGGCAAGCTATTTTGAAAATGGATGCCACTCCTGTTTCAAAGCTTGTTTAACTTTCTAATATATTCATCTCAATTCATTGCCCTCGAATCGGAAGAGGCTATAAATCTCACAGGAGGAGATTCCAACTTTCTGCTGCAGAGTGGGGTAGATTCGAACCAGCAGAGAGGCATGGCCATTGGGTCAGTAGTACAACTCTTAATAGATCAGAATTTACCATTTATATATTAATAACCTTTTTGTATAATGTTTTGCATGTAATTTAAATGAAGCAGGCACTTCCTTTTGAATGCTAAAAGGTATAATTTGGTACTTGGGAATAATGAGGTCACTTTTTTGCGTCAATGAGGATACTGTTATTTGAGTTATTAAACTGAACTAAACTGACGCCCTAGTTCTGTCTAAAACATAAGTCTTCATTACCCCGGGTGGGACTCGAACCCACAATCCCTGGCTTAGGAGGCCAATGCCTTATCCATTAGGCCACCGGGGCTGACAAGTGGAGCATCTTGCTGATCATAGAGCAGGCGTGTATCTCCCTCTGGCAGCTGTACACAACCTGTAGGCAGCGTCCAGACCTTCAGCGTCTACACTGGGTTCATCTCCTTTTAAGCCTCACTCATCACGGAGCCGGCTTCACACCTCACAGAGGCCGCACACAGGGAGTCCATGTAGGTTTTTTGTTGGTCTAGGGGTATGACTTTTTGCTTTAGGGTGGTTGGATTCTGGGTTCAAGTCCTTGGCGAGTCTCATTTTAGAAGGTGAGAGAAAAGGAAAGGGAATACCATGGAGATTGCACAATGGAGAGTGCAATCATGTAGAAAACGGGCAAGGGCACAGTGCTGGTCCTTGTTCCCATCCTCCTCCGCAGTTCTGTTTGGAGAACACATCAACTTCAGAGCCCTTTAAGAGTAGTGACACTTTACCGGCTAGTTCAGGCTAGAGCATGAGACTGTTAATCTCAGGGTTCTGGGTTTGCACCCCCTGTTGGGTGATGTGGTATGTAATTTTGTCTACTTGTTCTTTTCCCCTATTGTTCCCCCCACCCCCCGATACTTTTGCCCCTACTTGCGACTATTTTCCTACTTGCTACTTGTCCCCATCGCTATTCTTTTTCTACTTTCTGCCACTTTTTTACTGGATAATTTTTGTTCCTCACCAGTTCCACCCACCTTGCTACCTCTCCCTCCACTTCCCCACTTGGTTTTGTTTTGTTTTTTTTTTTTAATTTGCTTTTTTGATGCAGAAGGTCAAGGATTTCAGCCTTCAATATCAATCGAAGTTCAACTCACCACTGGGCCAATTGGCAGCACCATGATAGATGAAGAAGAGATTAAGATTGTTAACAGTTTCCATTTGCTTGGTTCCACGATCAACACACTTAGCACCAACTGTCAGGAAATCAAAAAACAAGTTGCACTAGGAAAATTTGCTGTCAGAGATATCTTCAGAGTGCTGACGAGCAATAATATCAGTCTAGAGACTAAGGCATGCCTGGTCCAGGCCATGGTCTTTGCAATTAATTCCTATGCATCAGAGAGTGGAACAATGACTATGGATGGCAGAAGGAAAATCAATGCCTTTGAGTTGTAGTGCTGGAGAATATTGAACATACCACAGACCACCAAGAAAACAAACAGGTCTATTCTAGAGAGTGAAACTAATCTGCTCCTTGAAGTCAAGAATTTTGAAGCTTTGTCTCCCGTACTTTGGGCAAGTGGCCAGGTGAGGCTAGTCCTTGGAGAAGGACATCATGCTTGGAAGGGTAGATGGACAGCACAGGAGAGGAAGACCCTGGCTGAGATGTATCGACACAATAACTGGGGTGTTAGGGTAATGGTGTGTTGGAGATAGTGTGATTGGCTCAGGTTAGGACAGGGTACAGAACAATTGTGCATAGGGTTGCTATGAGTCGCAGTCCACTTAACAACCCATAACAACAATGTCCTTCCTATTTGCTCTTCTCTCTTTCTGCCTTCCCTTCATATTTTAAACTTATCCCTGTGAAATTTTTGCCTACATTTTCTCATTATCCCAGCGGGAGAATATTTTTCTGTGTACCTCAGTCATTTCACTTTACCAAAGGATTTTGGATAAGACTTTTGTTGTTGTTGTCCTTTTTTAGGTTAACTCAACTCTGCACTTACTTTTTGTTTCTAAATATTTCAACATCCACTTACACAAACAATCCAAGGAAAAGTATCATTTCAAGAGACCCAACCAATCTATTATATTCTTTCAGTCATCCCCCTCTCCCAATAATCCTAGTCTTCTTCTGTCACTTTATATTTCCTAAATTAGAATACATTAACCATTTTCCTGTGGGAGAGCAGGACACTTGTTCCCATGTTTACCTGTATACACAGGAGCACAGCCTAGTCCTTCAACCTTCTAGGCCAAAGAACCACACAGTGTAGGTGCCAACTGCCGCTGCCGACTGCTCCAGAACAGATCACAGCAGAAGGTCCTAGACAGTGGACGCTATTACCCAAATCTTAATAACGTCCAGGCTTACTGGTCTGAGAGAGACTGATGAAACCCCCAAGATTATGGCCCTTACTAACTCTTCAAATCTGGAACAAAACTCATCCGTGTAGCTCAACTTTGAACCAAAGAGTAGACAGGTATAGATGGTGAACAATCATTCCTTAGAATAATGTAAGATCAAAAAGGTAACATTAGAAACGGGATAAATAAATAAAAAAAGAAACGGGATAAATAGATAAAAGTTAAGAAGGCAAGAAGCAGTAGGATAGGAAAATGAACTAAAACGAGAATCACTAAGAGAAACCCTGTAGGTATTATGATTAATGTCTTAAAATACGTGTGAATAGATGAATTGAAAACCAGTTTGCTCTGTAAACTCTTTACTGACATCACGATGAGAAGGGGGTGTAGGAGGAGCTGGAGAAAGAACAGTAAAAAATTCGAATCCATCATCTTTGAACACATGGGTCTTCAGAATATGAATAAAATTGGGTTAAAGGGCATGGGTCAGAGGGAATGCCAGATTCTAAGCAATTGATCTGAGTTTGATGTCTGTCATCGTGGCTGCCCTGGCCTGCGCTCTGCAGGACCGACTCGCTCCCTGGCCTGTGAGATCCGGGGTGCTGCTGTGGTCACGGGCGTCCAGAACCGAGGGACCCGCCTCAGGAAAGGGGCTCCTATCTGTGCCCTGCAGGCTCATCCAGACTACACGGGTCCCTGGATCTTCGGGCCACACCTACTCAGATGAGAACTGAATTCAGCGGGAGCTCTTGGCTGGGGTCTCCGGGGACGTCAGTGCACCCGCGTGCGGCGCGTATGCCCAAGTTTCAGTCCTTGTCCTAGGTTCTTAAACTTCGAATACACTTCCTAGAGAGCAACTAGCTCAACCCTAAATATCCCAGGTCAGATCCCAGAGAAAAAGGATAATTCTAATTAAGAAAAAAAAAAAAAAAAAAAACTTCAAAAACGCAGAAACGACCACGAAGGGACTCGAACCCTCAATCTTCTGATCCGGAATCAGACGCCTTATCCATTAGGCCACGCGGCCCCACTACAAATGCCCTGCGCAATTTGCCTCATAAAGTTAACGCAGGCGCCTTCCAGCACACTGAAGTGCGCATGAGTAAAATTCGTACTTGTTCTTCCGCTGCTTCCAGAGCGAAAAGAAGACCAAGCTTTAACCAATCGCGCACTGCCCGGCTGCCGGCTGGTCTGGCCTGTTTGGGCTGTGAGTTCGAGCTCCCGCACCCTGAACTTGGTGAACCGCAGTCACGTTTCATTCTCTCTGCACCCCAGTTTAAGTCAGGGGTTCCCGCTGGCTCAGCCTCGGACTGCTGCAGCGGTCTCTGCGGGAATCTGCCAGTAGATGGTGCCGCGTCTCCCACATGGTCTCAGTGGGATTGAGAGCAGGGGTGCTTGTGCACATTGTTGCCCTTTTCAGGATCCCTGCCCATAGCTATCTTCGGGACCCCCAGCCCCACCTCGTTGAACTTGCTGACCCTGCACCACGCAGTGATCCTCTAAACCCCGGTAGAAGGCCACGTTAAGTAAGCACAGCGATGTTTATTGCAGGCTGGTTACAGTCTGCGCCCGGATCACCCCCGGGAAGGGAGTGAAGGGATGGAGTCGGAACGATGCTGGGCTCCAGGGCCTCTGCACTCAGGCCCGCAGGCACAGGCGCCGCCGCAGTGAGCTGCGGATCTCCAGGCAGGCCTTGTAGGGCTCCTCGCTGTCTCGGCCCAGCACATCCAGCGCACACACCCGCCTGTTGACCTGTGAGGACCACGCTTGCCACTGCCCAGGACGCCCCACTGTGTGGTCATTCTGGCGTCCTGTGGGCAGCCCCAGCCCCTGGTCGGGTTTAGGGGAAAGGAGGGAGTCCAGTCCCACCGCAGTCTTCCCCCCACCCCCAGCCCCGCCACACACGCACAAACCTCAGTCATCAGCTCCAAAAGGTCTCCCCCAGGGTTTGCTCCCAAGACCTCCACCAGCGTCTGAATAAAGTCTGAGCCCTTCTCGTCCCGATAGGCCACGTAACCTAGATCAGGGGACCAGGAACTTTAGGTCCCTTCTGGGGACTCCAGTCCCCAGAATTGCTGGGCATCATCAGGTGGGGAGCAGCAGAAACATAGTACATTAGGAATAGGGCAAAAGACCAGGATCTGGAACATCAGGAATGAGTGAATACTCAATTTTTGTGAAGGGTGAGGGGATCTCAAAAGCTTTGGTGTAGCCGTCTAAGCTGTAACTAGACACATGAGGAAAATCAAAGAAACACAGAAACAATTATGCAAAGGTATAAACTTTAGCCTCCACGAGACACCCTGTAGAAGAACCCCATGCTGCCCAGATAGCTGACCGCTGACCGCTCTGAACGGGATCACCACAGATGGTCCAGGAAACAAAATTCAAAAGAACAAAAATGGTCAAGCTTTTTTATCTGGTGGAGCCTCGTAGGACCTCCCCCCACCCCCACCCCCACCCCCCCCCCTAGCGCTAACAGCCTCGGAAACATTTTACACCTGGAACTGAATTCATCCCTGTGACCCTCCTTCTAGCCACACAATACACAGGCCTTAGACCGGAAAGTGAGACATGAACTTCTTGGTGGCCTGTCCCTTACCTTCAGCTGCTGCATAGACCATCAGGATATCTGCGTTGTTTGAGCTCCTTGGAGAGGGCCCCCCTGGGTGGCTGCCTGTAAGAAGAGTCATTCCACTAATCCAGCATAGGGGACTCCACAGACCCCCTGCTGATCTCCCTACTTGCTATGAATTGAAATATGTCCCTCCTATTCCAAATAAAAAAGAAAAATCCATGTTGAAGTCCTAGTTCCTGATTGCTGTGAATGTAGCTTTGTGCAGAGATGTTTGGAGGGCCTGGGAAGACATTTACCAGCTAATGTAAAAGAAGCAGCAGCTCTAATGGCATGGTGGGGTGTGTGTGTGTGTGTGTGTGTGTGTGTGTGTGTGTGTGTACTAACTGAAAAGTCAATCAGAGCAAGAGCCTATGGTGATGAAAGAAGTTCAGGCTGCTTTGAAGGAAATGGCAAAACATAAGGCTCCAGGCATAGATGGTATACCAATTGACATATTTCAGTTAACAGATGCTGCCATGGACGTGCTCACCAAATTGTGCCAAGAAATCTGGAGAACAACCACTTGGCCAACTTACTGGAAGAGATCGATATTTGTTCCTATCCCAAAGAAAGGTGACCCAACAGAATGTGGAAACTACAGAACAATCTCACTGATTTCACATGCAAGCAAGATTTTACTGAAGATTATCCCAAAACGACTGGAACAGCACATCAACAGAGAACTACCAGAAGTCCAGGCTGGGTTTAGAAGGGGTCGTGGTACTAGAGATATTGTAGCTGATGTTAGATGGATCTTGGCTGAAAGCAGGGAATACCAGAGGAATGTCTATCTGTGTTTCATTGACTACGCAAAGGCATCTGACTGTGTAGATCATTAAACTATGGCTGACTCTGAGAAGAATGGGAATCCCAGAACACTTGATCATTCTAATGTGAAACTTATACTTGGACCAGGAGGCAGTCGTCAGAACAGAGCAAGGGAACACTGCATGGTTCAAAATTGGGAAGGGCGTACGCCAGGGATGCATCCTATCTCCATACCTTTTCAACCTATATGCAGAACAGATTATCCGGGAGGCTGGGCTCTATGAGGAGAAATGTGGGGTCAAGATTGGTGGATGATTTATCAACAATCTGCGTTATGCGAATGACACAATCCTGCTTGCTGAAACTGAAGAGGACCTGAAGCGCCTGCTGCAGAGTGTCAAGGACTGCAGCCTACAATATGGATTGAGGCTCAATGTCAAGAAGACAAAGATTCTCACCACTGGACAAATTGGCAGCATCAGGATGGATGGTGAAGAGATTGAGATTGTACACAGCTTTAGTTTGCTTGGCTCCATAGTCAACACTCTTGGCACCAGCAGCCAGGAAATTAACAGGCGCATTGCCATGAGAAAATCTGCTGTTAGGGACCTCTCCAAAGTACTGAAGAGCAATGGTGTCTCTCTGGAGACTAAGGTGCGTCTGATACAGGCCATGGTCTTCCCAATCACTTGTTATGCATCAGAGAGTTGGACAATGACCAAGGAGAATTGATGCCTTTGAGATGTGGTGCTGGAGAAGAGTATTGAGAATACCATGGACTGCTAGGAAAACAAACAGATTTGTCCTGGAAAGGGTTAAACCGGGTGGCTCCTTGGAGGCAAGGATTCTGAGGCTCCGTCTAACATACTTTGGACATGTTGTGAGGAGAGACCGGTCCTTAGAGAGGGACATCATGCTTGGGAGGGTGGAGGGACAGCGCAGGAGAGGAAGGCCTTCTATGAGGTGGATTGATTCAGTGACTGGGATAATTGGGATGGGAGTGTCAGAGACAGTGCGATTGGCACAGGACAGAGCGGAGTTTAGGGCTGTTGTACATAGGGTCGCTATGAGTCGCAAGCGACTCGACGGCACATAACAACAACAACAACAGCCTTTGAGGGAAAAATATGGGCAGTTTACTCTTATAAAGATTCATAACCTCAGAAACCAGATGGAGTGTCCTCGTGAGCTGGAATCAACTGGGTAGTAATAGAGTGGTATAAAAGAAAAGGAAGAATTGCTGGTTCTATCCTGCCATATGGAGCTCAGAGCCCTAATGGGCTGCTCCATAGAGGGCTGTGTTGTGAAGCCTAAATCCATGGGTGTCTGGCGATTCAAACCCACCAGGGATGCACAAGAGGAATTTGGGCCCTCTCCTCCATCCTCCCATGTAATTTAGTCTCAGAAAACGTGCTGGGGGTTGACTCTGAGTTGGTCTGACTTGACAATAGTGAGCTGAGACCTTGTCAATGGGGTCACTACTAGTTGAAAATATACTGGACTCAGAGTCCAGTTTAACAATTATTGGCAATAAATGTCTTATAAACATAGGTTCACTTTCACATGTAATTTTTTTTTGGCACTCTAATCTGAGTCAAGTCTTAGGATGAATATTTAAAAACATAATCACAAGATCAAAGGCCTTTTGTTTGATACATTCTTTGTTCTGAAAAAATTAAAAACTTATTTATGTTCTCTGCTGTCTGCCTAATACGTCAACAATAAATATTTCTTTCTTTATAATTTGTGCCAATGTAATAGATCAAAATTAGTAAAAATACATAAACAAAAAATTAAAACAAACAAAAAGATACAAAGGACGCAGAGAGATAAGCAGAGAGAAGAATACCTGAGATGTTGCAGCTCAAGCTCAGGCTGCTGACTGACTGACTGGCCTGGGAGGCAGTTTCCCTCTTAAAACCTCAGAAGGCATCAACATAGCTGACACTGAAATCTCAGAACCCACAGATTGTCAGAATGGTGACAGAGTGTAAGTCTGTTCTCACAAACCACTAATTTGTCATGCTTTGTTACTGGAACCTCCTGGTTGATAGGTGTTGTTCTACTTCATTACCCCATAATGACAGAATAAATAAACCCTCCAGGTCCAGGGCTTAAGCCCGATGTTGTGGCTACTGTGTGGCTCCATCTCATTGGGAGGCACTTCCTCCTCTTGATTGACCTCTGCTTTACCAAGAACATTCTTGCTGACCTCTGGTTCAAGGACAGCACCCATCCACTGCCATCAAACCATTCAGACTCAATGACAGCATGCAGAACAAAGTAGAACCAACCCAAGGCTGTCAAGGAGTTAAGAACCTAAAAAGCAAGGAAGTAAGCTTAAGGACTAGGTTGTGCCTGAGCCAAGATACAGTATTTTCAGTTGCTTCACATGCATGTGATCAAATAAGGAAGACAGAAGAATGGATGCCTTTTGTTATGTGCCTCATGTCAGAATTAACTCATAATTGACCTTCCAGGGTTTTCAGAGGCAATAAAATCAGGAAAAGTGTGTATAAGGGTTATAGTCTCTCTCCATACATACTCAATCTATATGCTGACCAAATAATTCAACAAGCTGGACTTTATGAAGAACAGTGTAGTATCAGGATTAGAGTAAGACTTACCAACAACCTCTGTCATGCAGATGACATAGCCTTACTTGCAGAAAGTAGTTGATTTGAGACACTTGTTGCAGAAGATCAAATAATACAGCCTTTAACATAAATTTCTTCTTAAAATCAAGAAAACAGAAACGCTTACCACTAGGCCAACAGGCAACATCATGATAGATGGAAAGAAGATGGAAATTGTTAGTAATTTTCTTTCACTTGGATTCATAATCAACACCCATAGTGACAATAGTCACAAAATCAAAACATGAGTTGTTCTGGGAAAATGTACTGTTAAGGACTTCTCCAAAGTGTTAAAGAGCAAAAATACCAGCCTAGAGACTAACGTGTGCCTGATCCAAGCCATGATCTTTTCAGTTGCTTTCTGTGCATCTGAAAGTTGAATAATGAATAAAGATGGCAAAAGAAAAAAAAAATCAATGCTAAAGAAGGTCCTGGCTATCTCACAGATTGCCCAAAGAACACAAAATCTGTCTCAGAAGAGGTGCAACCAGATGCTCCTAAGAAGCAAAAATGGTGAAATTCTGTCTCACATGCTTTGGGCGTGTTGTCAGGAAAGGCAAGTCCTTGGAAAAGGACATCATTCTGGGAAAGTGGAGGATCAGAGGAAGAACCCTAGCAATACGGACTGATTATAACAGGCTTAAGCACATGATGAGGTTGTAAGGAGGTGGTATGGTATAGGGCAAAGTTCAGAGCTGTTGTTTGCTGGTCACTAGAAGTTACAGTCATCTGGATGGTACCTACCAATAGATAACCCATTTGAGAAGCTGATGGATTTGAACTGTGTGTGCCTTTGGGTTGGCAGTGAAACTCCTTTCCACTAAATAAACTCTAGATTGCAAAAGAATAAACAAATCTGTTGCGGAATAAATGCAGCCAGAGCAGTGAGACATCATCTTATGAACTGTGGACATGTGGTAAGGAAGGACCAGTCCCTAGAAAAGGACATCATGCTTGGAAAGGAAGAGTCAGAGGAAAGGAAGACCCTCAATGAGATGGATTAGCACAGTGATGGCAATAATGGGTTTGTACATGATAGAGATTGTGAAGATGGCTCAGGATAGGGCAAAGTTTAGATCTGTTGGACACAGCATCACTGTGACCCAGAGCCAAATGGATCTCACCTAACAACAGCTACCAATCTTTATGGAAGAAGAAGGTGGCTTCTTTCTTCATCCAAGCAGCTGGTAGGTTTGAGCCCTTGGCCTTTCCATTAGCTGCTGGACATCTTAACTACCACACACCAGCAGGTTGCCAAGAATGGAAAGAATGCAGGGCAGGAAAGACAGCTAAGTTCAAATTTCATTTTTGTTGCTGACCCACTGAGTGGTTTTAGAAAGTCCAATTTTACCTCTCTAGCTGGAGGAGGACTGTTTGGAAATTCAAGTAGAAGTTCTCATATCCCAGATGACTTCCAGAGTTCAGGATCCTTCCCTTCCCTCTTCTTAGCAGTCTGAAGATGCTTTTTGGAAGGTTTCCACCACCAGTCTTGCCCACACCAGGGTTCAGGAGGCAGAACCCACCTTGGACATTGGCATAAACCTGGAGGACATCGGCATGGGAGGGGATGGTTGCAGCGGGAGGGGCACTCAGCCAGCGCCAGAGCCAGGAGAGAGCAGTTGGCCTCATGCCAGAGTCCCTGTGTCCTGGGCAGGGAGAGGAAAGTACCATCACTTGGCAGACAGACACAGATGCCTCCCAGGGGTCCTGAGCCCCTTTGAACCTCACAGTCAAAATGAGTTCCCAGCCCTGGAGTTCCAGACAGGGCTGACAGGCTGGAACATCCAGAATGCAGTAGTCACTTCTAGTGTATGGAGTCTAGGAGGGGATGGCCAAATGGTCAGAGAGCACAGGGTGCAGGCTTCCTTGAAGAGGTGGCCAGCAAGCCAAGAAGGCAAGCCAGGCAGGAGGAAGCAGGTCGAGGTTGGCACCAAGTGACCTCCATATGGGCCCTAGGCCCTACTCACCCCCTCGGCAGGCCTGGAGCAGGAAGATCTTGGGGCAGCCCTGCAGCGCCCAGCAACGGCTCAGCTCCAGCACCAGGGCCTTTGGCTGCACCTCCTGTCCATCTGCCCCAAACAACTGGCCCTTTGGGCCACCATGGGCCATCAGAGCCACCAGGGCACAGCTCACGGGGACTCTATGGGTGTCCAGTTGCCCCCGGAACTGGGCCAGCTCCTCTTGGAAAGCCTTGTGTTGTAAAACAAGATTAAAAGCTGTCCTGTGTCTTCCTGCCTCCTGCTCACCCACCCTCTTTCCCCCACCAGCCTCCAGCCCCATGAGAAGTCCTTTCTCTGGTTCTGCTGCAAGTCCAGGCATTGCCTCATTGTTGTAGTTGTTAGGTGCCCCAAGTTCACTATGACTCAGGGACCTTAAGAACAACAAATCAGCACCTGGCCTTATCCTGCCCCAGCCTCACAGTCTGATAATGCTCATATGTCACTGTGTCAGTCCTTGTCTTTCTCTCTTAATCCAACTTTCCACAGCTGGTGCGCTCGGGGAGCAGGGGAGCTGCCAGAAAGTGATGGGAGACCAAGAAAGAAATCAAGATGCTTGTAGGTAAAGCTCAAGGGCCCAACTGTGACCTCAAGCTGGGGATCAAAGGATCCTATAGCGTGGAAGACTACAGGAACCCTGGGAAGAGAGCTACAGTGGCATGCAGCAGGAAGGATGGAGGCTAGACTTCTGGGTGAACTTCCTGCCCTCCAGTTCTGTAGTGAGGGCCTTTAGTCACAGCCCATCAGAAATTCCTCCTCTTACCTGAGCTGTAAGGTCTGTCCTCACAGTGGTCTTAAAGCCCAGGGTCTGGCACAGACTTCTCAGTGCCTCCACGTCATGCTGGGCCCCAGACCTGTCCTGAATAGTGGCCAGGAGGAGGGCAGCCTTGGCCCCAGATAGGTCGTACTGTGCACTGGGGGCAGGCTCCAGCTGCAGCAAGATGAAGACTGGTCCTAAATGTGGGAGAGGGCACTTTGCCTGCCCCACCTGGGGTCCACCTGGCCCTGTCTCACTCTCAGCTGTGGTCACAGGACCAAACAACCCCTCTTTGTCCTGCTCACCTCTGATCCCCAGGCCTGCACATCTCCCAGGCATAGGGTCCCCCGCAAGGAGCTGCAAAGAAGTGGGCAGAAGATGCCCCCAGTGGACTCAGTTGTCCTCCGAAATACCTGGCAGGGAGGATGTGGGGACAGAGAACTTGTCAGGGGGCTGCTCTGTTGAGAAGGCAGATGCCAGAGGGGTCCTAACCCAAGCAGGAAGCCAGAACCCTGGTTTCAGGGAGCAATTAATGACCACTGCTGTTTGGGGTCACTGTCTAGACTGAAATAGGCAGGGTTTATGTTCTAATTCAGGTTCAAGGTCATGGACTTGCCTGACATGGGGCTCATGGCTGCACACCTCATGACCCCTGGGGCTCCGAGTGCAAGGGGTGAGGGCTCTCTAGAGCAGAGGCCCTATGCATGCCCTTCCAGAGGGCTCATGGTGAGCTAGGAGCAGAGCCTAGGGGCTGCACAGTGAGACCTAGGGTCTGAGCAGCCTGATCTGTTTCCAGCCTCCAGGACCTGGTGCAGGACCTGGTTTAGGTCACCACTTGAGTGTGAATGAAGGACACATTTTCCAGGGGGTATGTGCGAGGAAGGATGTTGCTGGCCGCCCGAAAGGGACTGTGCAGGAAGCAGAGGGTATGGACTTGGAGGCAAAGGCACAGGGTTTTGGAGTGAGCGAGCTGTGGGGTGGCAGCATAGGTGGAGGCTGAGGACCTGGGTGGAAGGCCAGGCAGGGACACGTTTCAGCACTACCATGGAGCAGGGTGGGTGCCCAATACAGCCCCTCCTTAGGCCCCTGCCCAGTCCCCACCTCTGTGAGAAGTTGCAGCAGGGACCAATGAGGACAGAGGCTGCAGAGATCCGCCAGGCCCAAGAGGAAGGTTCCAGGTTCCAGGGTAGCTGAGCACAGGAGCAGCACATTGGCATGGAGGGAACCCCAATTCTGCCCATCCATCCTGTCCCCCAGGTTGGCTTTGCCTTGCCCCAAAGCTGGGATACTTGCAGGACCCACTCACCCCCCGGAGCACTCGAGAGAAGTAGGAAGAGCTTGGGGCGGCCACGCAGGGCCTCACAGCAACTCAGCTCTCGGATCAGCTTCTGGGGCCTCCTCAGCTGCCCTCGTGGGGCCACCAAGACCACCAGAGCACAGCCTATGGGCACCCCACGGGTGTCCAGCTGCTCTCTGAAGAGAGTCAACTCCTCCAGAAAACCCTGGAAGCAAGAGCAGGAGTTCAGGCTCTCAGGACCCAGGGGTGCAGCCGACAGGGCTGGGCCACAGGAGCGATAGCTCACCTGAACGGGAACTCCCCTCTGCTGCAGACTCTCAAAGCCCAGGGCCTGCAGCACACCCGCCAGGGTAACAGTGGCAGCTGACAACCCTGGACTGCTGAGTATCAGGGCCACCCGAAGGCCCAGCATGCTGTACCTCCCCTGAAGAGGCAGGACCAGAGTGAGATTGGGACTGCCACAGCCAGGAGCTGGGTGCCGGCCAGGCCAGGACTCCCATTACCTTTCTGTCCAGGCTCTCCTGGGCGTCTGCTGTCTGTGCGGCCACTCGGAGAGTTCCAGCCACTAGGAAAGCCATGGTGTCAATGGGGCTTCCTCTACACTCTCCCTGGGCCCCAGCCACTGTGCCTGGGTTCCAACCCTTGCCCTCTAGCAAAGTGCTGTCCCTATCAGCTGTTTATAAGCTGCGCTGGACTCTTGTCCCCTATCCTGGGAATCTGATTTCTCAGTCTAGTTCTAAGGGACGTCCCAGCTGGCACCCCACACTCCCACCAGGTCCTATTCTTAGCTCCTGGCCTAGGCTCTTATCTGATTTTGTTATACCTGACGGCTCCCCTCCAGACCAGCCTGCCAAGCCCACAGTTTCCTTGCACTGCTCACTGAGCCCTCACTTCCGCGTACACAACTACAGGTGAAAAGGAGCAGCTTAGGGGGCCACCATGGGATTCATGGTCTTTGGCCCTCATTTCAGAAGATGTAAATTAAGGTGGTTGAGGAGGGGCTGAGAGGCTCTCCTCCCCCTTCCTCTACTTCCCTTCTATGTAACCCACAGAGGTCACCATCCTGGCATCCAGAAGAGGGTCAAGTAGGGAGAGGAGGGCTTTTAGTGACCAGCGTGCACCTGCACGCACACGGCATCTGCTATGCAGGTCACAGGGTAGGCCCCACCATGGGGCTGAGCATTTGCCAGGTCCTTCCAGACTCACTGGTCACCTCTAGCCAAGGAAGGCAGGGCCAGAGTCCTGGTCAGCCAACATGTATACACAGCCCTAGAGTCCTGCTGCTTCTGAGGGTCCCATGTGACCAGTGGGGAGGAAAGCAGTGCTGGATGAGGCCCATACCCTGTGGGGCTCCTCAATTCTGAATCCATTTATCCCTCACTTGGCCAGTGTGGGAAGGGGTACCACCTGCTATCACCTCCTGAGCACCCCTAGGCTAGGGTGCTATAGGAGACAGACAGAACTGGAGGTGCTTTGAGGCCAGGGTGTGGCAACCACCCAGTGTTGACCAACTACAGCCCACAGCCCCCTGGCCCAACCTTCCCACATAGCAAAGACTGGAGCAGGTAGGAGGGAAGTGCTTTTGTTTACTCAAACCCACTCCCAAGGAAGTAGGCTGGTGGTCCACCTGTTAATGCAAAACTACAAACAAATCCAACACACAGCCCCAATATAGTGTCCATGGGGTTTGCGTAAAACTGGCCCAGTGTTAGTGTTCCAACAAAATAAACATGGATGTGAGATAGGTGACAGGTCCCCGTCCCCTCACAAACTGGACAGGGGATAGCTCCCTGGACACAGTACTGAGAAGCTAGGCAGCTTACGTCTTTGGGCCAGAGTGGAGATCACAGGACATACAGAGGGCCCAGAGAGGAGACTTGCACCACCCTGTGGCCAGCCTCACTCAGGATTCAGACAACCAGTGGGGGGATGGATGCCCTTACAGAGTCCAGAGCAGGGGCCAATGCATGCCCTCCACCTGTGCTGGAGGGTACAGTTTGGCAGGGTCCTGGGTCAAAGGAAGGCCAGAGGCTCTGGGACAGGGCCCTGGTCATGTCTGCACCCTCCTGAGGCTATGCTTCCCCAGGCTTCCACGCTGTCTGAGGTCACTGCCAAAGCCAGCCAGAGAGAAGAGGCATGGAGTGCAGGGAGGGGTGACAGGATGCAGGGGTTTCCACTCCAGGCCAGGCCCAGGCCAGTGGAGCACACAGGAGGGTGAGGGCCACCAGTACAGCCAGGAGAGCCCACTGAGTGTCGCTTGGTCAGCCCACAGGCTGGGCCATTTTGGCATGCAGGCTCTGGTGGGCAATGAGGTGGGCACGCTGCTTGAAGCTCTTGTCACACTCCCCACAGCCGAAGGGCCGCTCGCCGGTGTGCACGCGCCTGTGGTCCAACAGGTAGGAGCGCAGCGAGAAGCTCTTGCCGCACTCACTGCAGCCAAAGGGCTTTTCGCCCGTGTGGATGCGCTGGTGGTCGGCCAGATAGGCGCTGCGGCTGAAACTCTTGCCGCACTCGGGGCAGGAGAAGGGCTTCTGGCCGGTGTGCACGCCCTGGTGGCGCGACAAGTCGGATGAGCTGCGAAAGCTGCGCTCGCACTCCTGGCACTTGTGCGGCTTCTCGCCCGTGTGCGTGCGCTGATGCCGGGCCAGGTCAGAGCCCCAGCGGAAGCGCTTCCCGCACTGCACGCAGACGTGCGGCTTCTCAGCCACCAGGTCCCGGAACTGCCGACAGCGTGTGGGCGGCCGTCCCCGCCGTGGGCCCGCTACTGGGCTCCGTGGTGCTTGTGGCTGCTCCTCGCTGTCGCCCGCCTCACCCTCTTCGGGGCTGCAGGACACGGGGGGCTTGCGGCTAGCCTGGCGCAGAGATGCTGCCACTGGCTCCAGCGGGGACCGTTCCCTCTGGGTTTTGAGTCTCAAACCTGCAGGGATGGAAAGGTGGCCTCCTGAGTCCCTACCAGCAGGTCTCAGCAGGAGCTGCCAGCCTGTCAATGCAGGCACCAGGAAATCATGCAAGCAGTGTTGTTCAGAGATAAAGCCAAGGAATCCAGTGGGTGGGAGGTAATCCGAGGCTCTCACAGGCCCATGACTTCTAGTTCAGATTCAAGGCCCTGAGTCTGAACCTTAGCTACTCAAATCCAAAAGGAAACACACTCTCCTGTATAGAGTGAGGGGGAAATGTAAATTAAAATCATTATAAAAAAAGGGACCAGGCTTACTACGGGCCTGACAGAGACTGGACTCTTGAGGTTGTAGCCTTGGTCTCCATTCAGGTCTGGAAGTGAAGGCAGCCAGGTGGCTCAACTTTCTGCCCAAAACAGACAAGCCTGTAAGGTGAACAGTGGCACCAGCAAGCACTGTCGCACCAGGGCAACACTTGCTGATAACTAGGGGGCAGGAGCACTGCTGTGTGCTGCAGGTCAGTCCTGAGTGCAGTGAGGCAGCAGGACAGTGCAGTCCTGCCCGCAGGATCATTTAGGGAAGTGATAGCCACAGTTGCCTCATCACCCTGTAGGATGGAACAGAACTTTTATCCCATGGAATTCAGGCCCACAAAATTCAGAGGAATCAGAAAGCCACACCTTTCTCCCTAAGAGTGGTTGGTTGGTGGGTCCGAACTGAGGATGTTTTGGCTATCAAACACTTAGACACTACACCACCTGGGTTCAAGGGAAAACAAAAAAAATGAAACTCCCTAACCGAAAGATTGAGGTACATTTCTAAAGCTATCTCACTCACTATCTGAAACTAAGGAACTAAAAACATCTCGGGGACATGGCTGTTCACAGAGCACCAACTCCTGGAGTCCAAGTGGGCAGATCATCCCCCCGCAGATGGTCAGAGTTAAATGAGGTGCTTTCCAAAGACTGTTTAGGAGGCCCTGGTCTGGGAATCAAAACTCAATCCCACTGCCGCAAAGTTGATTCTGGCTCTTAGAGACCCTCTGCTGGGTTTCAAAGGCTGGAAATCTGAAGAGGAGGGACCTCCACTCCCGTGGACTGACTGGTAGGTTCACACTGCTGGTTGCCTGGTTAGCAGCCCTGGTTTGGGAAGGCAGCTCGAGGAAAGAGGGTCCAGTTAGCACAAAGGGGCCATTCCCTGCACCAGCAGGCTGGGAAGTCCAGCTTTGCCCCACTGGCATCCAGCCTCGGGTTCCTTTGCGTGCTCGGAATCAATGGAGAAAATGCTCTAAGAGAATTCGCCACCCTGCCACTTATTACACATGTTCAGAGATACAAGAAATGAACTGACGACACAGCAGAGGAACCACAGCGCTACTGGGCGGAGGCCAGGGAGGGCCCCCTTCAAAGCACCTGCAGCTGTCCTGGACCAGGGGTGGTGGAGGAAGAACTGAGGGTGCTGTTAGGACAGGGAGCTTGGCCTGCCAGGGGCCCCCAGAAAGGCTGCAGCCTCCTCTCCTTGGATCCCTGGCTGGGTCCACTATTTACCCAGGGTGACGTTCCGTGAGTTTTCCCGTTTTATGTCCCAGAACAGATCCCTCTGACCAGGGTCCAGGGATCCCCACTCTTCCCGAGAGAAGTAGAAGGGCACATCTCCAAACGTCACAGGTCCCTGGAAGAAGGCGAGGAGACACAGCTCAGAGCTGACTTGTCTGGGACTCTGGTAGCCAGGGGCGGGATCGGAAAGGGCTTGGGATGAGGTCAGACAGGATCAGGACAGATGGAAGAGGCCTCAATGGGAAGACAAGGCCCACTACAGTGGATGGTGACAAAACTTTAAGGAAGATGGGGGAGGAGTACGTATGTGGTGGGGGTGGTACCTACGTGAACCCCAGAGGTAAGACAGCTGTTCACAGTCTCTCCAGGGTATCCCTCTTTAAGAAGGGAAGGTGGATGGCAGACAGGCTGGGCTGAGAGAAAGAACACAACCTCAGAGATGTCACCGGATGCTGGGACAGAGTCCTCACACCCTTCCCTGCCCAGACCCAGACACACATTCTTGACCCCAGCCACAGACCCATGTACATCTCCACATGCCCGTCCTCAGACACCCAGGCACAGAGCTACATGCATATGCACACACTAACCACACGTGTATGCACACTCACACACATATCAGGATGCCCCAAGACATCCTGACACATGTACACACACATTCCAGGGTCAAGGAGGTGGCCCACCACATGGGGGCTGCTCCTACCTGCAAGGAGAGGCCTACTCACCATCCAGCTTGGGCTGTTCCAGGGGCTGCCGGCCCCAGGGTCCTGTCTTTGGGGGAGACTCCTTAGGTGGGGCTCCCCGGACTGCAGGTTTGGGCTCCACCTCCTCTGAGAGCACGTCCTGTGCAAAACCACAACATGCTGGTCAGACGGAGCCCAGGTCGGGGGAGACAGTCTAATCCCTGGGAAGGAGACACGGGAGACGACCCTCAGGATGCTGGGGTACGGGCTAGGAAATGCACGTGGGGGCCTCAGGGACAAGCCAGAGCCGAATGTGACACCAGGTAGTGCTTCACGCCCAGGAACCTCCTGGATCAACCAAGAGACCAGATCAGGACCTCCAATGCCAAGCCACAAAGACCTATGACCAGGGATACAGAGAAGACTCTGCTGCCCAGGCAGAGCCCATATACAGCCTCTTACTCAGCACCCGAGAAACTTCCACTGTTAAAACTTTATGATAATGCACATCCAAAAACTTCTCCAACAGGGTAAAATGGGAAGCCACAGACAGGGAAAAAGTATTTGGTAATGACATGTCAGATAAGGGACTTCTATCTAGAATTTATAAAATATTTGAGCACCACAACAAGGAAAAGGTAAATAATCCAATTGAAAAATGGGCACAGGATATGAATAGACACTTCACCAAAGACGACATTCAGGCGGCCAACAAGCACATGAAGAAATGTTCAAAATCCCTAGCTCTAAGTTGTCGTTGTTATGTGCCATTGAGTCATTTGCAACTCACAGCGACCCTATGTACAAGAGCCCTAAACGCCATTCTATCCTGTGCCAACCTTGCTGTCTCAAACACATTCATTCCCACCACTCCACTCCAGAATCGATCCATCTCATCGAGGGTCTTCCTTTTCTGCGCCGTCCCCCAACTCTCCCAAAAATGATGTCCCTCTCCAAGGACCAGTCCCTCCTTGCAACATGCCCAAAGTATGTCAGACGAATCTTCAGAATCCTTGACTCCAGGGAACATTCTGGCTTCACCTTCTC